TAATACTTGGTATATTACGTCAAAAAATACTAAACTTTGAGCGGCAGAATCCATTTAGGAAGACACTCGCAGGTGTCGAACCATCCGATGCATTGTTGTGAGATTAGTGTCTTCAGAATTAAGAGAATTAATGATTTTCACAACACACATAATCTCCAGGTGCAGTATTAGGCGTGAACGAGTCCAATGGCATTCATTTCACTTTTACTTGTTACAAGCAACAGAGGACACATGATAAAGACGAACTTTGATTCAACAATATGCTTCATAGAGTAAGGCATAGTTGAATGGCGAAATGTCTAAGTTTTTGTTGCAGGAATTTTTGTTTGAGTTTTTCTATTGAAATGTGGATCCATATTTTCTTTACGTTTCCTATACCAAAAACATGCATAATTCGGAAAATATATCATACCAAGCGATCATTTTCCCAAAAGAAAATATTAATGATAAAAATAAATATAAATAGGGATAACCTCAGGGAATAGAACTCTACATTAACCGATATTCCTTCGTTAAGAGAACAAATTGCACTATCTAAGCATTATTTCAGGATTAAAAATAGAGGCTTTACCCCACAAATTTAATGGGACATCCTCTGTCGGTCTCAAACCGGTAGCAAACACCGAGACAGAAGCAGTTTTTGCATACAAGAGAAACTTAAAATAATCAAATCGAGAAGTGCTGAGCATTTGTTGAATCAAAGAAGCGAACCTATTTTTAATTGAAGACATAAGAACAAGTTTAAAATTCCAGAAAAAATTATGACTTTGGGGAATATACACATGAAGTGTTGATTTTTAAAATGGTGGTGTGATTTTTTATATGGTGCATATAAGGTTAAATACACACACACACACACACACACACACACACACAAACACACGCACACACACACTATATATATATATATATATATATATATATATATATATATATATATATATATATATATAGTAGAGGTAATTGTTCCGTTGGTATATAATCCAGGAGGATCCTAGTAATATTTAATATTAAAATTGATCCACTGAGAGCTAAACGTATTTATTATAACACAGCATATATATTTTTTACAGAAATATCTCAGATTACCTCATTGGGTATAGTCTATTTCAGAGTGGCACAATTTAATAATAATCCTCACAGCACTCGAATGCCCGTCTCGAACTTGTGTTTAGAATTTGTTTTAGATAGCAGTCCTACCGAAAGGGATGCTTTGCTTGCTTCTTATAAGGTGCTTGTGTTGATGTCAAGTGGAGGGCGTAATTTATCTCTTTAAGGGGATGTTTTTGGAGTCGGAGTATATTTATGACCAAAGCCTTTCATTGCATGTAAAGGAATATCGGTTAATCCATTATATTCAATTGTGGTAATTCCCTTGTGAAAATTATGAATCCTCTTTCTCTACACCCCCCACCAGGTTTTATAGACTTGGATGGCAACTGGTCTACTGGTGAAAGAAATGGCAACCTAATGCGAGAAAAAATCTGCATCGTCAGGCATGTATTGAGAGATACATGATCGCTTAAACGTTTATCACACATGGCAAATAACTGGTTGACTGAATATGGGATACTACACTATGTGTTGTGTATGATACACCTAATTTACATAAGCGGACTACCGACCATATAAATATGGGTTGGTACCGGAAGACGGGGAAGATAGTAGAGATTAAGAAATTGAATCCAGAGACTCTGCCCGACTGCGATTTAGTCAACCCATTATGCAGGAACAGTCTTCCCAAGAATATACCAAACTAACTGTAAATATTGTGTACCTATTCTTTGTTTCAATACATTTTGTTAACGTACATTTTGTGTTGTATTATTCCATGCTTATTTAAGCTTCAACACTATGCAAAAAACATTTGTGTTTTACTGGTATTTACAGTAAGTAGTATTTAGACAATAAGGGTTTAATATTATTAATACGTGATGGGCAACTTCAATATAAAACAAATTAAAATAAATTAGTTCAGTGATATATTCATAAATTTTGTAATACCGAGACGCCAAATGGAAAAAAAAATCATGCTGTACGACACACATGCATATACCCACACACACACATGTAGGTTTACATGCACGTGCATATATTTACCCATACACATATATGGCCGTAAATAAACTCCAACACCTGACCACTTTACCATAAATTGATAATTTGCACCCTCCAATTGTCCGCAAACCCTAATCGAAGATACGCGTCCGTTTGAGTAGGACTTCTATCAAAAATAAATTCAAAATCACAATTCCAGACAAGCATTCGAAGGCTGATTATGATTTGCCGGTCTGAAACAGTATACCCACATGAGGTAATTTTGGTTAATTGCTGGGAAATTGTTGCTAGCTCATTCTATTTTAGTATTAATAATATCCTTTCATTTCTTTCTTCTTCACTTTCCATTCCATTATATGCAATCTCAATCGCCTAACAATAAATTCCACGTTTTAAAAGTACTTTAATTTCAAAAATCTGTTATTTTTCTTTCTACCTCTTCCTCTTTCTTCTCATCACTTTTTATTATTCCTTCTCTTGTTAATCTAGCATATCACTTCAGAGAAATTGTCTTCATTTATTAAGAACTTTCGGCCTGATGAAATGAATATATAAATAATAACGAAATTAATTATAATCATAATGTATCTTTAATTTTTTCCTGACATTATTATGCTCTATAGCGCTTTCTCTAACATCCTCCTTAGAATTATAAATACCAGTCATAATTTATATATATATATATATATATATATATATATATATATATATATGCACTTTGTTTACAATTAGAATTCTGATACCTTTAGTAAATGAAAATTTTCACCTACGAATTTTAATTTTAAAATTCGCAGGATTTTTCAAACACTTCCGAGTATCGGCTTGTAAAGTACTGTTTATTTGGAGAAAGAAAGAGAGAGTGTGTGTAATTGGATAGCTATTGGGAGGTAAAGTGAAGAAGAAGAAGGCATCGTTACTGGAATCATATTATGGAGATAGGAGAGCTTGGTTTGAGGGAGGTGAGACCGATGTGTTGATCTATATCCTATCATCACACGGTCAATTCGCCGGAAATTCACGGAAATTAACGAAAACGGTTACCCATGAATATAGCTGACTGCCCCAACCCACACTTAGATATCTTCATTTAAGTACATACACCCTTGCCCTAGCTTTAAATGACCCTTTAGTCTTTACCTATTAAATTCTTAGATTAACTTATGAACACTATGTTAAGTACTAGGAAGTCTTCTGATAGCAAAAAGAATGTGATTACCCAAGGTTGGATGTGCAGAATCTATCTATCTATCTATCTATATTTCTCATGTTGGCTGTCTGTGTGTCTGTCGTGGGCGTTGTTGCCTCGCCCAGGCCACATTTCTAACCCGATTTCAATGCGGTTTTCAACACAAGTTTGCAAATGGCTGCTGTAAGGACATGACGGAGCCTGAATTTTGAGTTCGGACTCAGGATCCGAAAAAATCGATAATCGAAAAAATCGATAATCGAAAAAATCTGCTTACAGAAGGAATGATCGCATTTCAACCTCTTAGAGTCTACCATGAGAAGTGTTGTCCATAAGTTTCATGACCACGGACCCCTAAACAGCGCGGGAAATCGATAAAACCCAAAAACAGATACGTCCAGATTGCGCCTGAACCGTATGTCGCTTTTTAGCGAAAACCAACCAGATTTATGAACAGGCCATTGGGAGTCACCATGTGAAATCTCAACTCTGAGCGCACCCCCCCACCAAACAAAGGGCAAATCGACAATCGGTCAACCCATAAAAATGTTTTTCCGGTTGGGTATTTCCTAAATGCAGATGAATTTAAAGTCACGCTATGCGCAGGAAGAAACAGGTCAGTGCATACAGAGGAGTGGAAGAAAACATTTGACCTCAAATTGTGGAATGGGTGCAGGGCCATTGAAATTCGGCTTTTTTACCCATGCTATCATGTCCGGTTTTCATCCACAAATGTCATATTCGACTTTGTCAAGCACTTCCTTTATTCGCGTCTTTACTGAAAAAAAACCGCATACGCGCTGAGTGAAAATGGTTCCGTCCCCAGCAGGCCATTTTCCAATTCCCCTAGCCCTGGCCGCGTCCCAGACCTGACGAGGAGTTTTGCACTAAAACAGCAGGGATTCCTCTCAATCCATTTCAAAGCTATTGCCGGCAAACGGTTAGCGGCTTTTCGTTGTCGCACAAAACAAACGAGCAAACGCTTCATTGCAGCTCCTTGCATTCTCATCGCCGGCATCACGTGCGTTAGAGCCAAGCTGCCTATGCAGCAGGCAGCTTGACCCTGTTTACGGCCAAACCTTGCGCTTGCCAAATCATGCGCGCGTGCGTGAATGCGCGCTAGCATCTTTCATTTTGCGTGAGCTCATTCATTGGACTAAGTCATGGCCATTGTCCAGGCTACACCAATCAATGACAAGTCACGCTCCCTTTAAATACCTTCAGCGCGGCTGCATCTGTACTCACGTTTTGATTTGATCGCCATGAACGTATCAGTCTTTGGAGTAATTGACAGCTTCCTGCTACCGCAAGTTACCTATTTGCTTAAAGGTTTGCATTACCCATTTTATCTCCGCGTGCTGCCTCTCCTGCGCAGCCCAGTCCATCTTAGCGTTCCATACCTATTTCTACCTTTTCGTAGTTCAGTTTTGCTATTAGACAGTTCAAGGTCAGGTTTACCACCGGATTGGATCTCTTTTGCCGGAAACTGCCACTGATTCGGCCTTTCTACAAATATACTTTATAGCTGACTACAATCAACAGGCAGATGCCCGCATGAGCATTATACCCGAGAACGATACAGGCCAGGACAATCATCCTCGCAGGGATATCATAATGAGACTCCAACAAATGCTCCACGAGAGAAACAGCTATGTCCTCAGTTTTAATTATTCTCTCGAAAATAACATTTCTTCTGATTTCATTATAGTAATTGATACTGACAAACGGCCCTAGGGAGAGCACGAACGTCGTTACAATGCTCCCGTCATTGTCAGCGGTGATCAGCACAACGGACGTGACATTGTTATCGCATCGCGCGGCAGTGGGCTCCGAAGAATCAGTGAAACGCACCGGTCCTACGATGCACTGCAATACCCACATCTCTTCCCTTACGGAGAAGATGGGTACCAGTTTGGAATTCTGCAAAATGAATCCACCTTAAAAACAGTGTCTTGCAGGGCTTTCTACGCCTACCTATTGATGGTACATGAGGGTGCATTCAATCATCTTCATTGAAACCGGCAACTTTTCCATCAATTCATAGTAGACATGGATGCTAAGATGGAATGCGAAAGACTCTGTTACATCAGATTGAATCAGACCAAGCTGCGCTGCGACTCTTACATTCACCTCCGTGATGCTTTACGAAATGACGCTGATCCACGCAATATAGGCAAGATGTGCATGCTACCTGCAACGTTCACAGGCTGTCCACGATACATGCACGCGAGGACACAAGACGCGATGAGATACGTTCGTAAGAACGGCCGACCAGTCATATTCATAACTTTCACGTGGAACCCTCAATGGTAGGCAATTGCTAAAGAACTTATGCCAGGGCAATCGGCCTACACCGTACAGACCTAATTGCACGCGTTTACCATCTGAAGTTGGGAAAGCTAATGGATGTGATAACAAAGACCAGGTTTTTGGGGCTGTTTGCTGTCACATGCACACTATTGAGTGGCAGAAACGCGGCCTGCCTAACGCACATATACTAATGTCTGTGCGACAAGATTGAGGCCACAGAAATCGATCATCTTATTTCTGCTGAAATTCCTGATCCGTCGGCTGCCCTGAATTGTACGAAATAGTGTCAACCACCATGATTTATGGACCCTGCGGTTCGCATTACAATTACACCAGCTGTCACAACAGCGACGGCAAATGCACCCGGCAGTACCCACGAGATTTCGTGAGCCAAACCATTACAGGGAGCGATAGTTATCCACTGTACCGGCGAAGGAGTCCCGATGACTGAGGATTTACAGCCGTGGTAAAGGGCCACCAAGTGGATAACAGATGGGTAGTGCATACTGTCCCCTGCTAACAAAAGCGTTCAATGCGCAATCAATGTCGAATATTGCCATTCAGTTCGCTCCATCAAGTATGCATGCAAGTACATCAACAAAGGGACTGATGCTGCAATGTTTGATTTTAGGCAGGAAGGTTCCGTAGACAATATCCAGGACTTCCTTTCAGGGCGCGTCATTAGCAGGACAGAGGGCCCTTGGCACATATTCAGCTTCCCCATCCACGAACGCTTCCCAGCAATCGCCCAGCTTGTTGTGCACCTAGAAAACACAGTTCGCTATTTTTCTGCGGATACAGTAATGGATGTGGCTGCGCGTATCAAAGACACAACGCTTACAGTGTTCTTCATCTTTGCCGACAGGGCGAGTTTGCTAGGACTCTACTGTACCCAGACGTGTCTTCATACTACGTGTGGACAAAAAAGAACACCTGCGCTCGGCGGAAGTGCGGCGCCAACGTCGAGGGCTAACCAGGCGTCAAAAACGACGCCACACTCGGAAGAGTATTCACGGTTCCCCCATCAGGAATGTTTTTACTTGCGACTCCTTTTACAGGATATTAGTGATCCAACGAGCTACAATAACTTACGGACGATTAATGGAGTTTTATGTGACACTTTTCGTGAGGCCTGCCTCCGTGTGTGCCTTTTGGAAGACGACAGCCAGTGGGATGTCACAATGGCTGAGGGAGCTCTTTTAAAAATGCCCTCTGCTTTGCGCCACCTCTTAACCACAATCTTACAAATGTGCGAACCCAGTGATCCCAAATCACTTTGGGACAAATTCCAGGACTGTCCGAAGACATAATCAGAGTAGCGCAACTGCTGTGTCTAACAATGGCTCTTATATACAACGATGAAATTTACAACAGGGCGCTTATAATCATTGAGAACCTGTTTGTTAAAATGGTGGCGGTGATCTCTCGCCGCTATTGGGCTTCCTACACCAGATCGTGTGGCTTCCTCTTTGCATTGAACTCAACGCCAACTAATGTATAGTTACGAGCAAAAATTGTTTCTCCTCACATCACCATACCATATGTACAGAAATGAATGACCCGGACCAGATTATGGACCCTTCCAAAAATGCGTGCGAGACCCCTTCGTGCAGCAAAAAATCGATAAAAGGCTCCGGTTTCACCCTGCCATCAGCTGTCAGTTTTTGACTTCTTTTCACACCCAGGCTGCAATTAACGTCAAATATCGATTCAACTTCCGACATTTACGGCATCAATTCGTAACGGAAACAAATTTTAAATTTGTCTCAGGCTTTCAAAAAATTGATACATCGGCTGGTACTCCGATATTTGGGAGGATTACATTCTAAAATTTCGGGCGTTCTTTACAATTCAACCAGAAATTCCTACGCGGCCCAGTTAGAGGTGCCTTGCATAGAATGCCGTGTGACCCCGTCGTGACTCAGAAATCGATACAAACCTCCGTGTTTACAATGCCCTCAGCAGTCTATTTCCCACTTCTTTAAACTTTGTTCTTTCTACCAGGTAACATCACAGATCCGATTTTTCAATTTACGTCATTGTGTCAAGCCGGAACCCGATTTTTTATTTGGGACTCAAACTTTGTAAAAAAAAAACGATTAACTCACAGGTCATATGGATTTTGGGGGTTTTAAGTTGAATGTCTCGCCTGCACTACGCGGCCCGGTACATCTAAGCTTTTCACCTGATTTTGGACTCTGAGCAGTTGACTTCGCGTTGTTAAACACTTTTGAGCTCTTTTTATTTGAACTTAAAATCGGATCAATGTACGGTTTCCAAAGTACCGGGTTAACAAAACAAGGGCAACAACAACCCCGCTCAAGTAGTATGACCAGTCTCAATATTTCAGGAAAATGGGTTGGGTGTGAAAAAGTAATTGTTGTTAACATTGTTTTTTCATTCGGTTTTTCCATTTATGAGTCCTTTTTTTTAAAGCTGATCGTTTTGTGTTCATTTTGTTTAGTTCTTTTTTCGTAACAGATTTAATGTTTAGTATGTTTAGTATAGAGCTTAGAAAAAATTCGCAGTGTGAGATAGGCAAGAAGTAAGGCATGTAGCAACATCAGCACGGAAAAGGACATTCCTTTAAATGCAAGGAATGGCAAAAATATTTTAAGTCAAGTTATATCGATTGCTGTATGTGTCGTAAGATTTTTGAATCAAGCACAGGCAACGACGGGCTATGCTGCTAGTCGTATATAATGAGTATATATATGATGACCTCTATGCCTATATATGAGTGTATTTCCTCACTCATACTTAACCTAATACTTATATACCTACGCCCCACTACACATAGGGTGTGTAGGTATATAATTTGAGCTCACCTAAACTCCAATCAAACAAACACGAACTGTCATAGGAGGGCTTCAACTAGGAACCTCTGCTCCTCCCCTCAATTGAACTATTATCATTTAACAGGAAAATGAACTAATCAATGAATATTCACACTGCACATCTAACTTCTCCCTTCTTTTATACTCTTGCCTGTTTCCCATCTTCTTCCGTCCATACACACATCCCTCCTCCATCACGAAGTCTTACCGACCATCAATAATTTCCCTGCTAATGTTTCCCCGTCTCTTTGCATTCGGTTGTATTATAATTAATTCCATTTCCGTTTCCCATCCTTAGGTTTATATATTGAGTTATACTGAAAATCCAGTTCACCTGGGCACCAATCCTCCACCAAATGGGTTATGACATAATAATAAACGATTAGACAATCTCTCGGCTAATTAAATAACATATAACAACTAAATACGGATGCTTCAAGAGGATCTTAATTTGGATGCATATGCTGATATATGTGAGTGCTGTGGTATATGTACGTATGGGTAGGGGGTGTAGGTATATAAGTATTAGGGTAGGTATGTAGATCACCCTATATATAATCATTACATACGATTCAGCATTTCCAAACTTGGGTAATCAAATTCTTAATACCATCAGAAGACTTCCTAATAGTTAACATAGGGTACATAAGTTAATCCAAGAAGTTAATAGGTAACTTTACTTAAATGAAGATATCTAAGTGTGGGTTGGGACAGTCAGCTATATGAATATATATTATTGACGTGGACAAACGCAACTGTTTTCGTTAATTTCCGTGAATTCCCGGCGAATTAATCTTTGACCGTGTGTACATTGGGATATAGGTCAACCCATCGATCTCCCCTGCCCCTTCCCCTAACCAGATTCTCCTACCTCTATAATATGATTTCCAGTAACGATACCTTCTTCTTCTCCACTTTACCTTCCAATAGGTATCCAGTTACACACCCTCTCAGTCTGAACAGTTTGAAAAATCCTGCGAATTTTAAAATTAAAATTCGTTGGTGAAAATTGTCATTTACTAAATGTATCGTAATTTCAATTGTAAAGAAAATTTGCACTGTTCATTGAAAATAAATATAGAGCGCTCTTTTGTGTGTCAGTTTTAAGATATTTCAAATTCTATGTTGTGTTAATAGGACTCGTCTGGATTATGCCAACGGATTACTATATATATATATATATATATATATATATATATATATATATATATCTGTGCAGGCTGGTATTTTATATGTATATATTTATATATATATGTGTGTGTGTGTGTGTGTGCGTGTGTGTGTGTGTGTGTATTTAAGAAATGGCTAACTTGACAACCAACGTATTATATTATTATTTAAAAATATGTATACATCTCGACACAGGAATTCCCAATTTTTGGAAGTAAAAATAAAATTTAAATTGAACTCAAACACAAATATTTTGTTCCCTTCTCAAGCAATGTTGCATAACTTTCGCAAAAAATGATTTACATTCGTTAAGCAAAATAGTATTATATAATTTATGTTGGGTGGAGAAAGCGATTACAAAAATTTAAAAGGTTGTTGAATTTTTTGTCGAATCAGGATAAAAGTATAATTTAAGATGGCAAAGTTTAAATATATATTAAGGATTAGTTGTCGGTTTTTAATATATTCCTGTTGATACCGGCTTATATGAGAACGTGTCATCCTACCTGCTTTTTTTAAGTATTTAAGGGGATAAATAAGCTAGACTACAACGCATTGATATTTTTAATTAATTTTATTATTTTTACTTTTTTATAAAATACATTGTGATAGTCTTAGAGGGAAATCAAATAAGATTAAGTTTTATTTTAAGATATATTATTTTATATCGTTATATATAATTATATATAGTTATCTATAACGATCTAAAATAATATATTTATTATATTTATTAGTATATTAGATACTGTATTGTTTAAATTAAGACTGAATATTTTAGAATTTATTTACGCATTTTCTTACTTTCTTAAATGTAGCCAAATAATAGATATAAAATTATGATTTTTTAAAATTATATTTTAAAGTAAATATAATGCAATGTCTTCAAAAACAGTTCGTTGTTTTCTTTGATTTAATAAATATTTACTTTTCAGAAACTTAATAATATATTACTTTTCATATAGGTTCAAATGTCATGGATCATTTAAAGGCCTACATTTTCTCGTTTTTTTTTAAAAAATTTCATTTAACTGTGGATGTTTTATTTGTTTCTTTTAAATGCCAAAAATATTTGAATAGGGATGATTGGTTGGACTACACATTGTTTTTTTAAGGAAAACAGATGTTGGCTCCACCTTATTTTAAAATTGTTTTTGTGCTACCAAAATAAAATTTATTAATGTTAGGATTCACAATAGATCAGGTAATACGTTGGTGAACTATACTGTGAGACGTTTACTATTTAAAGACAATGTATACAAAATTTTTCTTTACTATTATGTTTTCTTATTTCTGTATCAATATTTGTTGTTTCTGGTTTAAGTATTTATTTAAATTTTATTATTATATATATATATATATATATATATATATATATATATATATATATATATATATATGCACATAGATATGTATGCACACACATATATACATACACATATATATACACATATATATATACACTCAAATATATATACACATATACATACAAATAGATATATATATATATATACACACATATATATACACACGCACATATATATACACATAGATATATATATATACACACATATATACACAGAGATATATACACACACATATATACACACATATATATACACATATATAAACTTATAAATATACACACGTGTGCACATAGATATATATATACATACATACACACACACACACACACACATATATATATATATATATATATATATATATATATATATATATATATATATATGTATGCATGAGCGATTTTTAAAATGTAGTTGTAACTCACTTGACGTTCATATCAAGAAAGAAAGTTCTTAAAATATTTTCCTATGCTTTTAATTTCCAACAATTTTCAAATTTTCAACAGCTGTCCTTATCGTTTGATCTCTTTTATATGTCCTATGTGTACATTTTCTCTCGTAATATCTATATTATTTTCTCTTTTTCCGCAGTTTAGATCCTTAACTTTAGCCATCTTTCAACATACAGATTTCAGATTTTAGATTTTGAGATTTCAGAAGTCTTAAGTTAATATTTGTTTAATGGTCATTCTATTTCTAGTCAGTACATTTTCATAAATTACACATATCTCAAAATCTAACCAATAAAATGGCAGAAGACTTAATGCAATATTTTAATACGGGTGGAAATGTACAATTTTAAATTTGACACATATTGTGTTCAAAATTTTTGAGTTCTTCGGATTTATTTCGTTTGCATAATACCTTCACATATAGATGAATATATATATATATATATATATATATATATATATATATATATATATATATATATATATATAT